TCATCTGCCCCTCCAGACCTCCCCTTCACCATTCTCTATGCTCTGGGGAAGGGAGCGGGGAGCAGAGAACCAATCTCCAACCCCAGAGAACTGCTTGCTGTTTCCCAAACATATCATGCTTGTCAGACTTCTATTCCTTTGCCCATACTGTTTTCACTTCCTGCCCTTTGCACCTTCCCTTCTCAGTCTGGAAAATTCCAACTCATACTTTCAGGCTCAGCTTAAATGTTTCCTGAATCTCCATGGCAGAGCCAGTCACTCCCTCCCTGCTTTGGGTGCCCTCCCATGAGAGCACATTCATATCACCTGGTGGGGTAACTGTTTACATGGCTCTGTCTCTCCCAGCACCCAGCCCAGGCCAGGCCCACACTTCAAACTCATCTGTGACTAAAATTACACTCTCCAGAGAGAAGGATAGTATGGAAAGGCCATGGGCGTGAGAGTCAGACTGGATATGACTCCATCCTCTCTTCTGAGCCTCACCATGCATGCCCCACCCCCGGGGTCTTCTGTGCTCTAACCTCACTGGCCTGTACTCCTGTCCCACTTCATGGCCCTTGCACGTACTGTTCCGACTGCTTAGAAAGTTCTTCCCCAGGCTCTTTCTTATCCTTCAGTTCCCAGATGACCTATCACGTCCTAGGAGAGGCCTTTCTTGACTAGTGAATCTAAAGGCACATACCTTTCCCATTCTACCATTCTCTAGCCATCCCCTTCATTGATTTACCATGATCCTAATGATCATATTGATTTATTTGTTTACTTGTTTCCTGCTTGTCTCCCCTGCTAGACTTCAAAGTCCTTTTTGGCTCGTACACTGCTATGGGCCCAGTGCTAATGCAGGGATTGGCATATACTGTGCACTACAGAAATCTTTATTAACTGAATAAGTAATGAACAAATGAATAGGTTCAAATCCCCACTCCACCACTTACCAGCTTTGTGTCCTTGGATTAATTACTTACCCTCTATAAAGGGCCTTTACCCATCTGAAGATGAGGCCTTTCATTGGTTGTACATTGGAGATTGTGTAAAAATGCCTGAAACAAGAAGAGGCCCCATAAATGGCAACTATTTTTTATTAAGTTTTTCTTTCCTTCATGTGAAAAATGCATCCTTTTTGCCAGGCTTAAAAATGTTACTGTCCGGGCCGGCCCGTGGCTCACTCGGGAGAGTGCAGTGCTGATAACACCAAGGCCCCGGGTTCGGATCCCATATGGGGATGGCCGGTTTGCTCGCTGGCTGAGCGTGGTGCTGACAACACCAAGTTAAGGGTTAAGATCCCCTTACCGGTCGTCTTTTTATCAGTTTTTTTTTTTTTTTTTAAAAAGATGACCCCTAAGGGGATCTTAACCCTTGACTTGGTGTTGTCAGCACCACG